ATTGTTTACAAAAATATGACTAGTGATTAGATTAATAATGAAACCATAGTAACTTATGTTTAATTTTAAAACTTAAGTTAACATAACATTACATCGTAGTAACTATGTAAATATGTTCTAATTTAGTAAATAGTTTTACATGAAAAATAAAGATAAATCTGGTGCAAAAGTTTGTGATCTGATATCTCTAAATATGCCAATAATGCGTCAAATTAGATAGAAATACAATAGCAATTTCGTACGGGCGGTCTAGCTCACTCGTCACCAACTCACTCTATCATAAAGAGAATTCTCCAAATAGGAGTAAAACATAGGCAAAGTGCAAAAATAGGAGTATCATGTTTTGAATAAGAGTAACTTTAGTGTTTGGACAAGTATACCCCTACCCAAGCGCCAACAACTTTTAATTAAATGTTTAATTCATAATAAATTCGAAAAAAATCATAAAATCGTAGAAAAATAATTAAAAAATTTATAAAATATTAAAAAAATAAAAATTTAAAAAAAAAATTAAAATTTTTTATTTTTTAAAAAACAATTAATAAAAAATAGTAAAACTCCATACAAAATTAAAAAAATATGGATGTCTTTCCCACCGCTTGTACTACCTACCTGCACCACCACCTCCGGGAGGTGAAAAAAATTCCATTTTTCCTAAAAACTGCCTTTTTTCTGAAAATGCCAAAAACATGACATATTTCTCTTTGCGAATGCCAACATTTTCATTGTTTTCTACCATAAATATGGCATTCGTAATGAATTTGGCATTTTTCCCCTGGTGACTGGAGGTGGTGGTGCTGAGGGGCAGAGGCGACGTTGAATTTTATTTTATTTTTTTGAGTTTTTTATTTTTTTTTAAAAAAAAATTATATTTTTTTATTTTTTGAAAAATAAATAAATAAATAAATTATTATTATCGAATAAATCATAAATTAACTAGGTTAGGATCAAATAAGTCATATTTTAGAATTAACTAGGTTAGGGATATTAAGGGTACAAAATTAATGTTTACTCCTATTGAAGGAAGTTTTAAGATTTACACCTATTTGTGCAATTATATTTATATTTACTCCTATATTGGGCAATTTCTATATCATAAAAGGGAGGTATTAGCCAGGTTCAAAACTCCATCAAAACTCTTCCAACCCTATTTACTTCAGGTAGGGGTGGACTCGGGCCGGGCCAACCGGCCCGGAACCGGACCGGCCCGCTACTGTGCGGGCCCGGCCCGGCCCGACGAATCGGTTCCGGGCCCGGTTCGGGCCAACCGTCCCGGTGGGATGGCGGTTCGGGCTCGGGCCCTTCAAAAGGTGAACTGGCCCGGTGGGATGGCGGTTCAGGCTCGGGCCCTTCAAAAGGTGAACCGGCCCGGCCGGTTCGGGCCCGGGCCGGGCCAATTTTTGTTTTTTTTTTTTGAATTTTTTTTAAGTTTTTGGGTTGGGCTGGGTATTTGGGCCATTTGAGGTGGTTAGGGTTGGTTTGGGGGTGAGGGGGAGGGTTGGGGGTTAACTAGGAAAAGCCAAAAAAAAAATAGAACTTTTGGGCTAAACTAAGCCAATAACAAGCAAACCAGACTTCTCATCAATTGTCCTAAGTTCTAGAGTTCTTTTGACAGGAAAAATAGTACAACCAAAACAACATGTAGTTCAGAATAAAAATTAAACGTAAAAAACGCATAAACTAATAAAAATGTTCTCCAAAAAACCCAATAAGCCGAATCCTCAAGAGCTCTGACGGGAACCAAACCCCGATTTTTGGCCCAAAACGCTCCAATCTACCACAATCGCCCTCACTCCTCACAATCTGCCATGGTCGGATGCCTCTGGGGCATAGCTAGGGAGGGCCCAACCCTGGCCCCGACCCAGGCCAAATTTAAAAATTGTGTATATTTTTAGTGTAAAAAATTTCACGTATTTTTTTTCTTAAAATATTCTTTGTACTGGCTCAGTTCGGCCCAGTGTCCTGGCTCCGCCCTTGGATGCCCCATCTTGCTTCCCCTCCTTCCTTATGAACAAAGATCGCCTGATTTGTTCTCTGCAGTGCCCAACAGGGAGATCCCCCAAACTAGGAGTGGACTCGGGCCTGGCCAACCGGCCCACTACTGTGCGGGCCCGGCCCGACTCGGCCGGTTCGGGCCTGGTCCGGGCCAAATTATTTTTTTTTTCTTTTTTTTTAATTTTTTTAAGTTTTTGGGTTGGGCTAGGTATGATGGGTCATTTGAGGTGGTTTGGGGTGGTTTGGGGGTGACGGGGGAGGGTTGGGTGTTAATTAGGAAAAGTCAAAAAAAAAATACAAGAACCGAGGCCCGGCCCGGCCCAGACCGGACCCGGGGTTACCCGGGTCGGTTCTTGGTCTCCCCTTTCATGAACCCAGGCCCGAACCGGGCCCGAACCGGAACCGGTCCACCCCTACCCAAACCCACCGTGACTATGAAAATTAGACCTTCATCCATATCCGTTAGAACCCGACGACGATACTGCTGCTCCAATGATTTTATAACATCCATCTAACTACTCGAATTATTGAATTAAGCAGTTGAATAATGAAATTTGAAAAAGAACCAAGCCGCATCCGCTTGGTGGCAGAAATTGCCCGCAATAGGCGAAAACCCTAGAGAGGGAGGTCACTTTTTTAGACAAAATTCTACTCTTATAGTGATTGTGTTTAGAAATGTTTTATGTTGTAACCATATTTATTGAATTTTTTAAATTAAATTAACTTTCAAGAGCCAAATATCTTGTATTGTGATGACATTATTGTTGCTCTCCAAAGTGCAAGTCACATTACGACCAAGAATATTGAGATTCATCATATATTGAACATATATTATACTCCCTTCGTCCCTTATAACGTATTGTGATAACTTTCCCTTATAATCTATTTGTGGCTCTCGTTATTTCTTTCTCCTCTGCACAAATCTCTATCATACAATTTTTACTTTATTATTCTACGTGACGGCCGAACTTGGCAATCCTTTTAGGGACGAAGGGACGAAGGAAGTACGTAGTAATAAATTAGAATTACACCTAAGATTACACCCAAGGGTCGCCAGAACACGGGAACAATCCCCCACAATCAACCAAGGCAATTAATTTCCCTTGATGCTGAGCTCACCACTTGAGCCGAGGCCGAGGTCAAGTGCAAGGTCAGAGAAGTCCACCATCTACTTCGAAGAGGACGAGGTCAGATGTTATATCATTCATCGAGTGCGACCCGCCTGACTTCCCCTCTCCACATCGGGATGCCCTGGTGGTGATGTATGAGGTGAACGATGCAATCGTCGTTTGCGCCTATGTTGACACTGTCTTCGAGACGGAGTATATGCAACAATCTCCAAAATAGAGTTATCTTTATATACACCAAAGGGTACCACCTAAGCACAGAGGATATGCAACAAGCTCCCAAAAGAAACATGTCACTTAACTAAAAAAATATGTTTTTATATTGTAATATACTAATATAAAAGCGGTTTAGCCATGGAACATTCAGTTTTGTTTTCAAACCCTGAGGTGCTATTATGTATATATTGATGTAATAGTAGAACTGAAGCATTTCATGTGTTTTTATTTTAATGCATACTAATTACTAATTTTCTTAGGGTGTGTTTGGGAGTTGAGTTTTGGAAGGGAGGGGAAGGTTAATGGGGGTTTATAACCCTCCTTTTTATGTTTAGGAGTTTAAAAAATTGGAGGGAATGGTTTTGGAGGGCTTTTGTAACCCTTCAAAATCCTCCAAATGCTTGATGTTTAAGTTCCCCCAATTTGAAAGGTTTTGGAGGATAATTAACAAGATGATAATTTAAGCTAAATTAAAAATGAATATCAGATCAATAATTTGAATTCGCCATATCTCAAAGTGATTTTAATCCTAATTTCTTCAAAAACCCTCTTCTTCCAATTTTATTACTCCCAAATACAAAGAAGGGCTTCCTCACTCTCCCCTCCCATTCGCCTCCAACAACATACCTTCAAAGTCTTCCCCTCCTCTTCCCTACAAACTCCCAAACATACCCTTAGAAATTTGACCTTCAGGTGCTCTCAAAATGTTAGGGTGTGTTTGGGAGTTGGGTTTTGGAGGGAAGAGGAAGGTTGATGGGGGTCTATGACCCTTCCTACACATGTTTGGAAGTTTAAAAAAATTTGAGGGGATGGTTTTGGGGGTTTTGGTGACCCTCCAAAACCCTCTAAATGCTCAATTTTTTAGTTCCCCCAATTTGAAGGGATTTGAAGGATAATTAACGAAATAATAATTTAATCTCAATTAAAAATAAATATCGGTTCCGGGCTTTTAGCCCGTGTGGACGGGTCGGGTGGGCCAGGCTCGGGCCCAGTTTTGGGCGAACCGGCCCGGGCGGTTCGGGCTGGGCCTGGGTCAATATTTTTTTTTCAATTTTTTTTCTTTTCCTAGGATTGGGCTGGGTGTTTTGGGGAGGTTTGGGGGTGGGGGTGAGGGGGGGGTCGGGGGATAACAAGAAAGCAAAAAAAAATTAAGTATTGAAACGGGCCCGGCCCGGCCCTGTTAGGCCCGGACCCTGTAGCAACCCGGGCCGGTTCCGGGTCCATCCATAGAAAGAACTACCAGGAGAAGGATTTGGACCTAGGATCAGTTTTAGAGAATATTCTTTATTTGAAAATCGATCAATGCTCAGAGAGCTGAAAATTATTTATTGCTTTTCCTTTCAGTTTGTTTACTGACAAAAGCTCTTTACCGTTTGAAATATGTAAAATGTTATGTAGATTACTACGATGACTTTGTGATACTAGATAGTGGATAACCTGCTTAATTAGAAAAGTTATATCCTAAAAATAATGCATAGTTAATCTTATTTTGAACTTGTTCATACTTTCACTCTTATTTTGATCAGATTTTTAACTAAATTCCAACGGTAATTATGGTCCAGTTATTTTGACCAGAACTAGTAATATAAAACAGAGAATATTGACTTCTTCCGCTAGCCCATCACGACTTGAATCATGGTTCTTACAGCTGTGTAAATGTGTAATACGAAGTATATTTTATGTATATGTATGTTTGCATATTTATGTGTGTACATAAAAGGCACAGCAGAAATACATTAAAATCTTTCACCCAAGAATTACCCACACATGACACGTCAAATATGCGTGAGTTTAACATCTCATGATCTCATACCAATATCCCAATATAATAAAAAAAACAAGCTCAGTAAAAGATAAGCCTAACACAAACTGCACTACTACATCCTGGGAGTGTAGCAATTCGCATCATCAATCCCCTAGTTTCTCTATAGAATCTCTTTATGCTTAAAGTTATACCAAAACTCAATATGTGAGATCTATAAACACAAAAGCAACAGAGGAAGGGGATGGGAGGCCACTGTTAAGCCCAGCAGTAGGAAAAGACAAAAAAATGTGCATCTAATATGCCTCAAAGATGGAACAAGGGAGGGTTAGCTATCGTCAAAGCAATCAATCATCCAGGTAATAATAGGAACCAGCATTCTTTTGTTCCCTGTCCTTGGTTGAATCAAGTTTGTTAATTCTTGGGCGAAAATTGGTTGGATCCCTTCGGAATGTGATATCCAGATGCTACAGAAACCCAAAAAAGTTGAGAGATTTGTAAGATACAGAACCATGAACATGATCAAGCTTTGTTTGATTATAGGTGAAACCAGAATAGAAAGAAGCAAGTGAAGGAAATGAAATAAGTCTCTTGTTTGGTGAGGAGAGGAATGGAAGGAGGAAAATAAAAATGGTGGGTACCATCTTTTACTTCTTCCCTCTTATGGAGGAGAAATGGACTCCTGTTTCTTCAATTCACTCATTTCTTGCTTCTCTATTTCTTCCCAACCAAACGAGAGGCTTAAATTTGTCTAGTTATTTGTTTGTGTTTTTAGTCACAGAGGGTTCTATTCTGAAAGGAAAAAACATACGGATAGGAAAAGATTCATTCCAGTGAGCAAGGATTGTGGAGAGTTTGCAATACAATCAACAGATGCCCTCCCCTCATACACAACCACTCTGTCAGCTAGGTAAGTTGCCATGATGAAGTCATGCTCCACCACGAAAGCTGTCTTCTTCGCATGAAGTATAAATCTCTTTATGACTTTTGAAGCCACAATACGCTGCTCAGAATCCAGGTATGCACTGGGTTCATCTATCAGGTATATGTCAGCCGGCTGCACAACAGAAAATCATTTACCAAATATATATAAGTTCTAGATTTGAGCAACTTCAACAATATTGAAAACCATGGTTGGGAAAATTTTAATAATCCTACTGACAAAGTGCCAAAGGTATATGACAATTAGGAGTTTGGACACTAACCGACATAGAATGCAGCACAGTACTTTCTTCTTTTGGTTGGAAATGACCAATAGAGACAAGAATTAATGAAAAATATAGGACTAAAATAATAATGATGGACAAAAAAGTGACTTAATATGCAGGGACCATTGTGGTATTTTTGCAATAACTAGCAATGAGCGTGGTGATGTTCAATTTTACACAGCAGCGACCACTGATACTTCCATAGTGGCCATGTCATTTTCCCCCATGAGTTCTATTTTAGTACTTCCTCCGTTCTTTTTAATTGTAAAATTCCATTTTCACATTTGTCAACGCTAAACTTTGAACATCAATATATTTAATTTAAATAAGTATTAGTACAAAATTAAAACAAAACGTCACATTTTGAATGCTTAAAATGAGACGAACTTAAAAAATCCAAATATAATGTTTTCATACATTAATAAATAAAATGTAGTCAAAACAGAGCGTAAAATTTAACATGTTGCAATTATTTGAGAACAGAGTTAGGACGATATAGGCGAAAAACTAAAAACAAAATCCAAATATGACATAATTGTTGAGCGGAATATTTAGGAGTGGGGTAATAGTGATAAAATTTACCTTCCCGAGACACAAAACTAGGGCAACTCTCTGAAGCTCTCCACCAGATAGGTTCAAAACTTCTTGATCCATCAATTGCTCAATTTGTAGAGGCTTCATTACATCTGAGTGGAACTGTGGATGTGTATACGAATCGCGTATCTTCTGGTGTAGCAAATGCCTCACGGTAGATTTAGATTTGGGACTGATTTTCTGTGGCTTGTAAGAGACATTAAACTCTGGTATCTCTACATCACCATCCACAACGTCAGGCTTTAGCAACCCAGCCTGCAGTCAATTACATGGTGCAAAAGGCCAACAATGAATATAATGGGAATCAACCTTAAGATTTTAAAAAAACAGTGAAATTGCCGAATAAAAGGCATACCAGCATTCGGATGAAAGTTGTCTTCCCAGTACCATTCTCGCCAAGCATTACAATAATCTGGGAATCAGTAAATTCACCCTCAACCACCTTAAGCCGGAAATTACCTTGAGTCTTTGACATGGTAGGATATTTATAGCGAGCATATGATTCAACTTCCTCAGCACTTTCCTGTGGAGTTTCAGCAACCTAGGGGCAGGGGCAGGGGCAGGGGCAGTGACCGGGGTGTAATTAGCTGATACAGTAAGAAAGTTTCGGGCAGCATACAGAAAAAGAAAATTATTATACCTTAAAGGTAAGTGATTCATCACGAAACCTCAGATTCTCTGTTGGCACAAAACCAGCCAAGAATATGTTAATTCCTTCTCTAACAGAGAAAGGAAGGGTGACAACACCATATGCACCGGGTTTTCCATATAGGCAGCATATGAAGTCCGACAAGTAATCTAAAACACTCAAATCATGTTCCACAACAATTACATAGCTGAAACAAAAAGGTTTAAACTATTAGCAAAAATCACTAGACTCGCATATATCTCAATCTTATAACGGGACTCAAAGTAAACATGCTGTGAAGAAAGAAGAACCACACAACCTGTTGGGTCTAAGCAATGATCTAACAACTTGAGCAGCTTTGAGCCTTTGTTTCACATCAAGGTAACTTGATGGTTCATCAAACATGTAGATCTCTGCATTCTGTATAGCAACAACAGCGATGGCAAACCGTTGAAGCTCACCACCAGATAAATCTTCAACATTACGGTCCAAAACCTGATTCAGCTGAAGATCAATGCATAGTTCTTCTTTGATGTCCCTCTCATCCTTTTGATCAAGAACTTGCCCCACATTTCCTTGCACGGCCTTTGGAATATGATCCACATACTGAGGCTTTATGATAGCCTGGAAGTTATGCACCAATAAGTTTAAGCTGTTTAACGATAGAGTTGACGAAAAACATGTAGTACTCTTCATTTTGAGAAAAGCAGCAATAATAATAAGATTAACATCTTAATAGCAAATAGTCAATTGCCCAACTTCATTTTTTCATCCATCAAGCCATTGAGGTTAATATATGTGCAGAGTATTTACCCTTGAGGCGTCTTAAAGTTTACATTAATTTCATTTCTCCTCAACAATCCAGAATTTGTTGACAGTTCTTAAAGTTTGAGAATAAAGCTGGGTATTTATGTGAATTCACATGCCATTGGTTTTAAAAGGCATGAGGAACATTGAGGCGATTTGACTCCAGGAGCCGAGGCGTGAAGCACAAAACGCAGGCACGGACCTCACGGAATTGCGGTGCATCTCTTTGCTAAAATGCATTTATATTACTTGCACAAGATATCTTGTACTCAAACACAACGATACCAACTTTTGAATTTTAATTAAGAAAAATATGGTTCATATTATCTCTTAATAGAGCGTAATACAGAGCAAATTCAAATGCCAAATCTTTAGTTCTTTACATGAAAAGTTCACAATATTAAAAATTTCATAACATGATAGAAGCAAACAGAGCTTATGACAGTACTACCTTGTAATTCAAATACAGTGTATCACATAGAAGAAACAAGAAAGCAATGGGTCTAGTAACTTGGTAAGATTTCAGGGCCACAGGGGATGATGGAAAGAGGAAGGAGAAGAAAATAAAGGCAAAGAAAAGGAGGAGGCAGAATTGTAACGTGCAAAAAGTTAAAATAGAGGAAGCAAGAAGATGAGGAAGAAGATAATAATAAGAACTTTCCTGTGTCACCGGCAGTCCCTGAGAGAGATCTTCAATTCTTTTTCCCGACTTTTGTGACTCCTACGACTTCCTTTGGTGGCGACTTCCGTTTAAAATAGAAAAGGCAAGAAAAGGTCTAAGGTTCCAAGAGGAGGCAGAGGCATAGTGCCCCATGACTAGGACAAGGCGCCATGATGCGCACAACTCAAGGATGAGGCGGTTTTCTCACTGCCACAGTGCTTCTTGCGCCTAGGCGTACTTCAGGTGGGCTTTTTAAAACCAAGCATGCGCCTATTGCAAACTTCAAAGTTAAAGAATCTGTTGGAGATCCAACTTAGGATGTTTTTACTTGGACTGTAATTCCTCCCATACCAGACCAGACCAGTTCAGACCAGACTTGGATAGTTATAAAAATACAAAGAAACCAAACCAGACCACTTCAGACCAGACCAGCAAATTACAGTCCAAGTAAAAACATCCTTAGCTATATGGAGAGGAGCCATTTACAACAAGCTGGGTTATCTACTCGGTTATCTACTCGGTGAGTACTCGGCGAGTAATCGGCGAGTACTCGCAACTCAGGTGGTTACCTTTCCGATTAGCTACTTGACTCGGTCCGTATAATATTTCCGAGTTACTAGCCGAGTACTCGGCGAGTTTCTCAACTTGGAGAATGATGAGAACAGAAAAATAGAAATCAACGGGATAAACCGTTCCCAGAATAATCAACGGAAGAATCCGTTGCCCAAGCTAAATAAATAGCCCTGCGTGGGTATAAATAATACTACATACATGCAAGTTCCAGTAGGAGACTAAATAGTAAATAAGCCAAACCAGACCAGACCAGTTCAAACCAGACTTGGAGAGTTATAAAAATACAAAGAAACCAAATCACACCAGCTCAGACCAGACCAGCAAATTACAGTCCAAGTAAAAACATCCTTAGCTATATGGAGAGGAGCCATTTACAACAAGCTGGGTTATCTACTCGGTTATCTACTCGGCGAGTAATCGGCGAGTACTCGCAACTCAGGTGGTTACCTTTAAGATTAGCTACTTGACTCGGTCCGTATAATATTTCCGAGTTACTAGCCGAGTACTCGGCGAGTTTCTCAACTTGGAGAATGATGAGAACAGAAAAATAGAAATCAACGGGATAAACCGTTCCCAGAATAATCAACGGAAGAATCCGTTGCCCAAGCTAATTTAGCTTAATAAATCTGAATTTTATTGATGATCGATTAAATAGACCTGCGTGGGTATAAATAATACTCCCTCAGTCCCAAATTGTAAGATACATTTACTATTCACTTGGTCAACATAAATCACTCTTAATCTTTTACTTTATATATTAAAAGTTTATGAAATTTGAATTATTTTTTGCAGCTTTTGTAGCGGTTTTAATGTAGTTTCTGAATATGTAAATTTTATTTTCCAAAACTAATTTGAGTGTTGACAGAGATCAATTTGCTTTATCGTCGGTCTAACATCGTAAACCGTAAAGTATCTTACAAATTGGGACGGAGGGAGTACTACATACATGCAAGTTCCAGTAGGAGACTAAATAGTAAATAAGCTAATTAATTGTTCGTAGCTTATCCCAGTGGGAAACAGACTTGCGCACAAAGCCTAAGGGAAAGGGAATTACTTACGCACAAAGCTTAAGGGAATTCTAATATAATAAATATCCATAATAAAAGAACTAACATAATTGAAGCTAATTAAATTAAAAACTCAGCCCACGGATAACTCAACCCATAACTGGCCCACTGAAGCCATAATAAAAGAACTAACATAATTGAAGCCAAGCCCGTTCCCACCCCATCCTCTTCTTGCTCTCTATCAATCCATCCTTCTTCGAAATATCCTTGTCCTCAAGGTTGAAATTTGGCCGATCAAGGACTGAAATTTCCAGTCTGGAAAATATCCTTTTCCTGACCGGTTATTTCACAGTACTCATGTTGTTGGAGGCCCAACTCCTCATCCTCCTCGGCTATCATTACTCGCAACTGCTTAAAGGAGCAGCAATGCCCTGGTGTAAATGGTTTCTTACACCTAAAGCATAATCCTTTCGCCCACAATTCTGCTAGCTCCTTTGACGGAAGTCGAGTGAACTGAGAGTGTGTCATAGGCTGCCCGAACAGTCCTGACTTTGTCCCCGGGGGTTGTCCACTATTCTTCGGGAAGCTGCCACTTGATCCCTGTAGGCTGCCACCATTGGCAGTCAACGGAGGACTCGTGTGTGGTATTAAAAAGCTGCTGGAACATACCTTTGAAGGATTATAATTCAGGCTGCCACTTCCTCCACTCTGGACGGACAGATTATACTCCACATCGCGAGCTAATTCCGTGGACTCTTCCAAGTTATTCGGTCGAAATACGCGCAACGAGCTTCGAATTGCTTCCTTAAGTCCACTCATGTAGTAGCCCAAATAATGAGCATCGGTCAATCCCGGAACTTGGCTAGCCAGTTGAACAAACGAGGTACTGTATTCCTCTACTCAATCAATTTGTATGACGCCGAAAAGCCATTCAAATCTATTCCCTTGGAATCGGGAATCAAATCTAGCCACCAGGGCTTGCTTGAATTCTTCCCTGGTCATGCCTGGTTTGCGCGCTCTCAGCCATGTTACCCAATAGAGGGTCCTCCCTTCCATGGCAACCACAACGGCTGCCACCTTTTTCTCTGGTAGGGTTCCGTTCAATTCGAATTGTTGTTCAACACGCGCTGTCCACCCAATCGGATCTTCTTCGTCAAACGCGGGCAGCAGGGTTGGTGCTGTGTTTTGCGGCAGTCCGTCGCCGCTGGGGATGGTCACGGCAACACTTCCGACCGCAACCAAGGATGTTTCCGGCGAGACCAGCGGCACCAGGGCTTGGGTTAACGCTGCCAAAGATGCAGCGATCACATCCAACCGCAAGCTGTGTTCATCTAGGGTTTGATTAGTCCGAGCTTGTTCAGCCTCCAACTCTGTCAAGCGATCGTTTTGAGATCTCGTCATCTTGGCGGGACGGGATCCGGCAGGTTGGACCAGTTGATGAGAACATAAAAGTAGAAATCAATGGGGTAAACCGTTGCCCAGAATAATCAACGGAAGAATCGTTGCCCAAGCTAATTTAGCTTAATAAATCTGAATTTTATTGATGATCGATTGAATAGCCCTGTGTGGGTAGAAATAATACTACATGCATCCAAGTTCCAGTAGAAGACTAAAGAAGCTAATTATTTGTACGTAGCCTATCCCAGTGGGAAACAGACTTGCGCACAAAGCCTAAGGGAAAGGGAATTACTTGCACACAAAGGCTAAGGGAATTCTAATATAATAAATAGCCATAATAAAAGAACTAACATAATTGAAGCTAATTAAATTAAAAAATCAGCCCACGGATAACCCAGCCCATAACTGGCCCACGGAAGTGGGCCCAAGCCCGTTCCCGCCCCATCCTCTTCTTGCTCTCTATCAGGGAAGTTATCAACTCGCCGAGTTACTCGGCTAGGCATAAAAAATTTGTTTTTTGTTAAATCTGAAAAGTTTTAATTAAAGAGGGATATTATGGAATTTATAAATAATGAGTGGGTATTTTAAAAATTGGAAATAAACCTTAAAAAGTCTAGGTTTAAAAGTATTTTATACAGCTGCTCATTCCAGCAGTTGTTCCTCCTCATCTCTAGGTAAGTTATTCTCCTCCATAGCTTTATCTTCTTTCTCGTTTCTTCTTCATTAGGATTTTTTGTCATATCTAAAAAATTTAAGATTAGTATATTACTATAATTTTGAATATTTATATTTGTAAAATTCATTAATATAGGACCGAGTACTCACCGAGTAATCCCGAGTACTAGGTCCTACTCGCTACTCAGCCATTGATCGAGTTGCTACCGAGTAGCTATTTAACTACTTAGACAACAAGTAAAAGGTGAACGACTGAACGTAAGCACAAAGTTGACTTGAAGAAGGCATGCATCTAAATGGGCCTGCACAATACGCAAGCCTCTAACTTCCTAGATTTTCATTCTTGACTGGATGACAATCATCCCTTGTAAAATGCTCTCAGTTCTCTGAGCAACTGAATCATTATCTAAGGCCAATATGTAATGGTTTGAACTCGAGAAGAACCAGAACCACACAGGGTAACCCAAAACCAGAATATCTTTTATGAATAAATCATAATAGGCGAGGGTGTTGAGACTGTCAGTAAGGAATTATAAAATAAAATAAAAAGAAAACTGAAGACAATAGGCAGCATCATAAGCAGAGTTAAATTCACCTTTAAGTTATCTTCGAGAATGCGAGTGAAGTAATTCTGCAATTCAGAACCTCGGAAGTAAGTCAATATCTCTTGCCAATCAGGAGGGTTCTGCAAAAGGTCAAAGGAACGAACATATGATTTATAAATAAGAACCTAAGAAGGTAAACACTTAAATATAACTTTAAGAATCTGAAATTGAAAACACAAATAATAGGTGGAGTCAGACAATACATTGAAGCGTCCCAAATTGGGTTTTAGTTTCCCAGCTAAAACCTTAAGGGCAGTTGATTTTCCAATACCGTTTGTTCCCACCAGGCCAAGAACTTGTCCTGGTCTTGGAACTGGCAACCTGTAACAAAAAAAAATTGAAGACTTTAGACAGCAAAATAGGGAGAGTTTGATAACTCTTGAGGATTGCAGACAAACCTATGCAATTTGAATGTGTTAGGACCATAACGATGTGTTGTATCCTTGTCCAAGTCCTTTGGCAGATTGATGATCTGAATTGCTTCAAATGGGCATTTCTGTATATAGAAATATATCACCATTATGGGCATATATGAAAAGTTCATTAGATGGTGCAATGCAATCCGATGAGTGCTCCATTACTTACAGACCTTCACACAAATACCACATCCTATGCACAACTCCTCGGAGATGTAGGAAATCTTGGTTAGAGGGGTGACCTCAATACATAGTCTGCCTGCAAACATAAAGCACTACACCTAAGAATTCAGAACTCGTCATCCAATTAACAACAGAACATGTTCTCCTCAATAGTGGTGAAACAAAAGTAGCATTGTCAAATATCAGAGAGTAGAAAATGTCAAGGGAGAAAGAGCTCAGGAAATGAAGAAAGAGGGTGGAGGGGATTAAGTATTAAGAAGAGAATATTGTTTGCAACAACTATTTCCTACAATTTTAAGGATAAGTAATTTATAACTATGAATACATTCCAGCCTTTCTTTGTTCGTTTATGAATAACAGTTTGCAGCATTTACCTTTGTTGTTTTAAGGAACATATTTCCCCATAACTTGACTATGACTATGACACTTCTCATATATATATTCAACTAACTGGTAAGGAATAAATCCATTTTCAATATCTTGCATCCTCTGAAATATTGTGGGTTTATACTTTATACACATGCACTTCTCACATATTTGATGCATTCATCAAATGAAAAAGAAAGATATTTGAGAGTGGAATAATTAAAAATATATAAAATAACTACTCTCTTCATTCCAATATTTTTGAACCTTTGACTAGTTACCTTACTAAGATAACAAAATTGTGTGGTTGTGGTGCATTTAGACAAGAGAGAAGTAATACAAACCACAAAATTCTTCCATTGAGGAAAGGGGAAAAAAGTTTTGGGACAACCAAAAAAAGATTCCAACTTTAGCAATGAATGAACTATTCCAATTGAAACTTCAACAACACTACTCAGCATTCTGAATTAAAATTACCAAACATATTGGGAGAGAATAACATCAATGATATGGATAGTTCAACATAAATTCAACAAAAGAAACTCTCTCATTTACCAGTTTTAACCACGGGGCAGCTCTTCTTGCACTCCTGACGGCACTTCTTTGGCTTGCATTTGTCAGAGCTGACAATAGCAATACGGGTCAACCTCTGGTCCGACATTTTTCAAGTTGTCAATCTGTAATCTCATAAAGTGAAATTCAGAAGCAAAAAAATCAACCCAAACAATCAGCAGAAATCAATTGATTGATACAAAACTGTCAACACATAATTGTGCAATTTGTTTTGCCAATTTTCTTGAAAAACTGACGGAAGAAAACGTGTTGCTAACAGCACAAAGATAAAAGCGTTGTTACAATCGTTCTACTTGTACACGCGGGTCACAAACAGTTCCCTTTACAAAAATGAAAATCAATTGTTTGTGCACGGACAAAATACACTTGTGTGTAAGCCGGTGCGTACAAGTAGCATTTTTCGAGTTGTTATCAATAAAGGGCGTGTAAGCAGGTGTACACAGACAATGCCACTATGGCATCATCATGGTGTCATCACGGGGTGATGTGGCACGTGCTCACAGTTACTCTGCAGAATTTTGGCTTTCCTCCGTACGAAGGCAACACTGCCAGCGTATTGGGTGTTCATTAAATTACAGCTTATTACAACTCCTTAATTTAGAAAATTATTCATCGTCTAAATGAAAGAACAGATAAAGAACGAAGCTCAAGAACACCCTCCAAGCTTGATCTATTCACTACTGATAAGATATAAAAAGATATGTAAGAACAAACAAAACGATATGCGAACAGTGAGTAATAATCAACTAACCTCAGCTTAGACGAACGGCGAGGTGTACTGCGTCCGACCTAAGGGGGTGATGAGGAGATGGAAACGGATAGGCAGTATAGCGTACGACCGTCACACGACTGAGAGAGGAGCTGTAGAGGAATTGGGCATGCGATTTTCTAATTGGACCGGATCATACACTTTGGGCCAATACTTTAAGCACGTGCTTAAATTAAATTAAGCTCAATTAAATTAGTAAGAAAAGTGAAGTAACACATAAGTCGTTTAAAAAGTTGTTTACTAATCAAAACATGTGATTAAAGTTTCGCTTACAAAGCATATCACCCATTGCATTAATTAGTCGATACTTTAAACTTTTTCAGTTTTCAAATTTATCTTTTCACATTGCTCTTACCCCTTATTGTTACTCATATCCTACCTCCTACCCCCACTCCTTACCCATCCCTACCCTACCATACCCTACCACACCCCAAGCCATTGCTCATACCCTTATTACCCTTACCTCATGGCTTGCCCCCTACCCCCACCCACCAAACCTCTTCACCCTACCACCCCCAACATACCTCTACCCCACTCATACCGATCCCCGCACTCGTACCCTTTACCCCCTACCCCTACTCCGACCTACTCAATACTCACCAGTTACCCCTCCCCTACCCGGACCCTCATACCCTACTCCTTTGCCTCCTTACCCTTACCTCGTACCCTTACCCTTACCCCTACCTTGACCCCCTACTTGTGGCCCATTACCCCTACCCTGACCCGTCAGAGGGTAGGGTGAGGGTGAGGGGTACGGTCGTGGTAGGGGGTAGGGGTTAGGCATGGGATATATGTGTTCAGGGTTGAAATTGGGGGGTTTAGTGTAGGGTTGGAATTGGGGGAGGGGGTAGCACATATTATATACTTCGTATATACTTTTGTACATGAATATTTGTGTGTCTATGTATGTATAAAGTTAATTTGGACATTTTAAATCCTCTAAAGTAAACATGAGCTTGTAACACTGTTTATTTTACGCGGTGCTTATTAACGCATGTCTTAATAAACATTGCTTGATAACCTTTGAAGTAAATGCGTCCTAACTCTTTTGAAATACTTTTGGGTTGTGTTTCCAAATACTTTTGAAAAACACTTTTATAACTTCTGGCTTAACTAAGCTAAAAGTGGTGTTTACAAATGATAGTTTTTGCTTAACTTGAACAAATTTAAGTTAAAAGCTTTTTTACTTATAGATATGGGAGTGAAGTATTTAGAATTAATTTAAGGTGTGAATATATAAGTATATGTAGAAAGTAGTTTATATTAATTGCAAAAATGTCATTGTTAAACTTTACAAAATATATATGAAGCTAAAATTATAACTACATTAAAGTACTCCCTCCGTACCTTAAAGGTTTGCCAAGTTTAACTGGCACGTAGAATAATAAAGTAAAAAGTGTGTGGTAGATATTTGTGCAGATCGAGGAGAGAGAAATAACATGAGATTCATTAAAAGTGTATTTTAAAAGTGTGTGATTGATTAAAAGAGAAAGTGGCAAAGTTTTTGGGACAACCAATAAATGAAAGTTGGCAAAGTTGTAAGGGACGAATGGAGTATTTTAAATCTTTCAAATTAGAAAAAAATTAAAACAATTATGTACAACCACTTGAGATTCATCGTAAGGCTTCAAAAAGGCCTCATAAAAAAATATGGATAAAATAGTAGATGAGGGATTTGAACCGTTGATCAAGTGAGACTTTACAACACAGATAGAGTACATCAACCACTAAGCAAGAAGTTCTCTTGTTTATGAACAATATAATTAGTGTATAAGACCTTTATATTGTAGATGAAATGTATATATAAGGGTCGGGTGGGGTTGAGTGGGGACAGCTGCCCCTGTCTCCACGCTGCATCCGCCCATGGTGTATGTTGGATTATTGTTTTTATTAAATTACGGAAATCAATTTTCATGTTTTTAGTGCTTTATAACTTACTTTTAGGTTTCATATTTTTTCCTCAAAAAAACAAATTTCTAATACTTACTATGTTCCACAGATCATGAAAAACATGTGTCTTGCAAAAAAAAATACTAGTGATGTATACTCAAACATGTCTTTTTGAAAGGATACTCAAACATGTTATGAAAAAACACGTGGCTTCAAACATAAGTTTCTAATATTAGCTCTGATCCACAATTTTCACATCAAAGACAATGAAGCCTTTTATTAAAAATGTCATTTATTAAGTCTTGTTCGTGGGTTATCATTTATGTAAACGTTTTGTCTTATTTCAAATGTTTTCAATTATGAGTACTTTATTTTGTAGTATACACACATATTAAATTTTTAAGGGTGTCAGATAATATTTGTCATTTTTACGCCTTTGGTTCTATCAGGTTTCAATTCATCAATGAATATACTATGTACTTACTTTATGGTTCTAAAAAATGAAATGGAAAACAAAGGAAATTTGGAAAACATGTGTTCATATTTGAAAAATGAAAAACTAGAAAATGAAATCAGAAAACAAAAATATAAAACTAGAGAAATAAATAAGCGGGTCCCTAGTTTTTCTCCATGGGTTGAACCCAATGAGTTTCAAGGTTGTAAGAAACCATGTTGACCATTTGCTAATTATGTCTAGCTACATGTACTCTATTTAGTCGGGTAAAAAAAGGATGACACCACATTCCTGAAGGCCTCCTAGCACCGTCCGAACAATTAACTGTGAGGATATAATCTGAACTTTTATCACAAACTAATAGATAGCGAGAGATGATCTGACTTAGGTATTTGCAGAGCATCTGTGCATTTTACACAGTAACCTCTCATCGCAATTGACACGAATTGAACTAGAATTTTACCCACTAGTGCAAAAAAGGCTTATTACATCATCTTATCTACATGTGTTGGCCCAAAACCCATGTAGAATGCTGACACGGGTCCTTTTTATAATTTTTATTAACTGTTTCACATCAGTTGTGTATTTAACCGATGTTAAACAGGAAAATGGGGTATACTTTTTAATTTTGTTAAATATTCTACATCGGGTTTTAGTGCAACTAATGTCAATAGAAAAATGGAGTAAATTTTATAATTAATGAAAGTATATTTTACAGATCGGTTATTATATGAATGATGCTATCGGCTGGTTATAATCGATCCCTATATTAACCTAGAACAAATTCAGTTGGCCAGACTACGACACCTGACCGCTACACCGCCTGCAGCACATGAGTGTGACACCCGCCCGCAGGCCTGCAACACCCGCCTGCGACACCCGCATGCAACACACCGAGTAGTCATCCGCACAAGGTAACAGATTAGTCGGTCTAGACATTTTAAGGAAAAAAGGTGTGTTCTCCTCTTCGCTCAGTCCAGTGTGACCTAATAGAGTATATGACTCTTTCAATCTCTTCTTCTCTTCGATGAAACGGCGGCCATAGTTGATGGATTCCCTTCTTCGTTGAACCAGCGTCTCCACTCTCCAGTGTCCAGCAGTCCAGGAATCCAGGTAAAGATATTTCGATGTATTGTTATAGTTACTTTGTATTTAAGATAGACGGATAGTTCTAATTGAGCAGTTATGAATGTTTTTCTTTTCAAAGGCCTAGCAATTACGACTCTCTTAATCAAAGTGCTTCTGATTTTGATTTTGATTGTGTAAACGAGTCACCTATATAAGGAAAATAAGGTTAGATTTGCTTGATGCAATGGCTCAATGGCCGAAGAGCAAACTTTGAACTCAATTTAGTGAAAAGTGTTGTTAAGCATATATTCCAAATGATTTTCTGTTGACTTTCCCTTACAGGTTATTAGAGCATTTGATGATTTTTCTTGAGAAATGATACATAAATTTATAGCCTAATATTGATAGGAATTTGGAATGCATTTATGTTGTTTGATAAATAATATTCTAAAAAAGTGAGAACAATAGGTGAGTGACATGAAGTTTAAGTGAGTAGAATAATTATTACAATTAATGAATAGTATTAGTTGAAAAAGAAGTTGCTACTCATTAGTTGAAAACTGTTCTGCTAAATACTCAACCAGTTTCTCCTACGTCTAAAAGAACTATATATCACAGAACATTGTTCAACTCGATCAATTGTTAGTCGGATTAGCTTATACCTAAAAACACTACATATGAGAGAGAAAATTACCCCGCTCCATTCCCTCGCTCAACTGTTAGCAACTTATCTTCTAATATCTAAAAGCAGTACATACGAAAGAGAAAACTCTCCCGCTCAATTATTAGCATTATTATCTTCTGGTACCTAAACCTCTTACATATAAGAGAGAAAGTTTTCCCGCTCAATTATTAACCGACTTACCTTATACCTAAAAGCACTACCTGTAACACCTCGCCCCGTAGGACCCAAGGTACTTACTCCAAACCTCTAGTACTGTCCTCACAAACCACCAAAAAATTAATCTCAAGTGTAACACTACATATGATAGGGAGAAATTGTTCTGCCAAATTGTGGTCGGCTTATCTTATACTTAAATGAACTATATGTTATAGAGAAAGTGCTTCCGCTCGATTGTTAACTGGATTATCTTACTTTGTACAAAAACACTACATATGAGAGAGAAAATTCACCTGTTCAATTGTTAGCAAGCTTATATTCTTAGCTTCTAATACCTAAAAGCAATACAAATGAGATATAAAATTATTCCGCTCAATTGTTAGCTGACTTATCTTATACTTAAAAGAACTAAATATTAGAGAGAAAGTTATCCCACTCAACTGTTAGTAAGGTTATATTCTAATACTTAAAAGCACTACAAATGAGATAGCAAATTCTCTCTCTCATATATATAGTACAGTTAGGTATAAGGTAAGCCGGCTAACAATTGAATGAGAGAAATTTCTCTCTCATATGAAATGGTTTTAGGTATAAGAAAATAAACATGCTAATAATTGAGCGGGAGAATTTTCTCTCTCATATTTTTTAGAAACATTGAAGCAAAAATGAAAAATTTATAACACTTTAAACAAATTTAGGATTTTTTATAACTTGGGCCCACCAACTCCATTTCCCTTTGGGCTGCTCTTCCTTTCCTTGATTCGGTAGCTTTGAAGTAAAAAGCGGTCACGTGTCATTTTCAAAGCAAAAGAGAAATTGTGGAAAGATGGACACATATAATTAATGAAGAGTATGATTGTCTTTAGATGAGCTATCTCCTTT